ATCCACCTCTAGAGTTATACCCACCAACCCTCCTACATATGCAACATGTTCCGAGCATCCTTTCTCTAAAGGAATATTGCTAACTCTAACCCATGCTTTTTCCATCTCCCCTTTAGCACCAACTGAAGCTGATAGCTAGCTGATCCTGATCCCAGGCGTGGCCAGTATATATCTCACCTGCACTCGACGAGCAACGAAGGGATCGGGGACATGGGACGAGCTTCGCTGCTGCGTCTAGCGGCCGCCATGGTCCTCACCGGCTTGGTTTCTCCGCAGGTTGCAGTGGCGGCACGCGCGACGCCGCCACTGCCGGTGCTGCCGATCCCAACGGCGGCGCAGCTCGCGTGGCAGCGGCGGGAGGTGATCATGTTCTTCCACTTCGGGATGAACACGTTCACGAACTCCGAGCTGGGCACGGGGGCGGAGGACCCGGCCCTGTTCGCCCCGGCCGCGCTCAACGCCAGCCAGTGGATGGACGCGGCGGCCGCGGCCGGCGCGTCGCTCGCCATCCTGGTCGCCAAGCACCACGACGGCTTCTGCCTCTGGCCGTCCGCCTACACGGCCCACTCCGTGCGCGCCAGCCCCTGGCACGGCGGCGCCGGCGACGTGGTGCGCGAGTTCGCCGCCGCGGCGCACGCACGGGGCGTCGACGCCGGCCTCTACCTCTCGCCGTGGGACCTACATGATCAGGAGTACGGCCGCGAGGTCGCCTACAACGAGTACTACTTGGCGCAGCTCCACGAGCTCCTCACCGGGTCAGTGCCCTGAGCACGCGTGCGTGCACAACACAGATCGCATTCCGTCTGACTGGTTTTCTCAACCAGTACTCACGTCGTCTTGAGTAGGTACGGGAGCTTGTCGGAGATCTGGTTCGACGGCCACAAGGACAAGAACGCGACGAACATGACGTACCACTTTCAGGAGTGGTTTCAGACCGTGAGGCAGTTGCAGAGCTCCAGCATCATCTTCTCCGACGCCGGCCCCGACGTCCGGTGGGTCGGCAATGAGGATGGGTTCGTCGGAACCACCTGCTGGTCCACCGTCAACCGCTCCATGATAACGATCGGCGCAACCGGCATCGAGAAGTATGATATACTAATTTTTTTCGTGAATAGGCAAGATCATATATCTATTATATAATTATTAAAACAAAAGACAAACAAGCCATCACGTTCGTCCACACAGATTAAATTATCTCAATCGTTTATTTTACATATTTATTTTTTTAAGAATTCTTTGCATTCAAATCACGAAACAGTACAAAGTAGTTGACGCTTACAAGCACACTGAAACACAAACACAAAGGACCATGAACACCTAGAGTGCTCTAAGACAACCATAACACAAGAAGATCTCCGGAGCCATGTGTCATCATCCGTGAATCTTGAGAGAAGACCTCTGCAGCAGAAAGATCTGCAACCAGGCGCAAGCAGATCATCATCTTCGACCACAGAACAATTGCCGCCACGTTGCTTCCTCCTTTCTTGACATCAGCGCTGAGAGCGCATGGACATCAGTCCAACACACCTGCAACAGCTGTCGCCATCTTTGGCTTTGAGTAGCGCGAAAAATGTCCCTTCCGGAAGGAAGAGAACTCGAGTCATCCGACCGGTCCAGCACCGCGGCCGGGCCATCCGCCCGGGCAAAGCAGGATCTTCCTTCAGCATCAGCGCAGAGGAAAAAGAACAACAACAACAACAAATCATACCGACAAGGAAGAAGAAGGGTCTTCGTCTCCATGAATCCATCGCCCATCTAAGAACCCAAACGGCCAGTGTCGATGGACCTCCAGCCACCATAGCCCGCGACCTCGACGAGATCCGGGGATCCCCCACTCCGCTGGCTCCTAGACGAAGGCAAAAGCCTCGCCTGACCGCGAACGGAGCCCGGAAAAACTTATTCCGACGTGACACCACCACAACGGCCTCGGCAACGTCACCCTCAACCCTAACCCTATCACACACCCACCTAGCGGACAGACCCGAGGCTCCCCCTCCCTCCCGCCGCCGGAGCGGCCGACGGAGAGAGAGGAAACCGGCGGCGCCACCGGTGACGCGCAAGGGAACCCTCGTCGCCTCCTAAGATCGCCTCGTGCGATCCTACTTTTCCGGGATTAGTTCAAGCGTTGCAACGTGTCGCTTCGCCTATCCTACTGGTGGTTTCTCTTTATTTTAGATATTAACAGTCGAGATTTAAAAGATGTAGCGTTACATACAAATATTATCAGGTACAAATAATTTGACATGGCATATAGGAATAGGTCAACACGTCTTATGTCAAACTCATATCCTTTTCTATTAAAAAAGGACTAGAAAAACATGTCCGATTGGGACAATCATGCATAAGCATGCGTGTTGGTATTGCTTTTCTATTAAAAAAGGACTAAGAAAATCTGTACGATTGGGACAATCACGCATAAGCATGCGTGTTGGTATTGCAATACGGAAGCCAACTCCTATACGGACTCTTGATTAATTAGTGCTTCACCTTTTTTGAGTTGTAGTGCTTCGCCCTAGGATAAATACTTCTCTACTATCTGGATTTAAAATTAAACAAAATAGATGTGTATGTACATAGTACATATATAGCAATAAGTTTGGTGTGAAAAAAATTGGCAAGACAATATTTTTACATAATAAAGATGTTACCCGTGATAATTCATGCATCGGCAACTCATGCCAAAAATACGTGGATCTCTAAGTGCAAATAATTTTTATTTCTATTCGCGCAAACTTTTAATAGTGAATCATGGTGTATGTCCTATTTTTTGCGATGATTGACTTATGTTCTAATAACAATGACTGGAATTATAAACATAAGTCAGAAGAAATAAGGCTGAAATATTTCAACTGTTTATTGTAAAAAACAATGTCAGAGATTAAAATTAATAACACATCTAAAATATGTAGAGTTATATATGTACGTCAGGGCGTCATTGGTGCCCTTGAAAAGAAAACACGTTATGGGATGAGAGACCTGATACATGATAACCGGAAATATAAAATGATCATGGCAAGTAGGAGTAATAAGGAAGTTGTCCGACTAGATGGAGTAATAAAAGGTGTACGCTTCTCTTCCTAAAGAAAAAAAGAAGTTGCATGATTCTCAGCGAGGCTACGCACTCTTGATCGTACTCCAAGTGGTGACATCATAATGATGCCAGCAATAATAAGAAAAAAATGTCCATCACTGAGGAGGAAAGCTAAACCAAAAAAATAGTGAGTATCTATACATGTACGTCAGAAATCATTTAGAATTTTTGATTTCATTTTTACTGAAATTAGTAGTTTGGATTGGTGAATAAAATATTGAACAGAAAGTAGAATAATATATTTGCGGGCTCAAAAAACATAACTATAGGTTATTATAGACTCAGAATAATTAAAACTATAAAATCGGGCTCAATAGTATAGGAAAAGATGTCACATGAGTTCATCCGCAAAAAGAAAAGTGACATGTGTTAAATTTAAGAGGAGAAGAGTTGTTCTCGAGTTCACGGTTGTGAACAAGGCATTGTAGTTTTTTTTTTTGCGAAATTTATCTGATCTATTATTAAACTTTACCGAAAGTACAAAACATCTCTATATGAAAAAAAGTACAAACCATCTTAAACATATAAATTACAGTAAGATTCCAAGTCCACCGAACGAGCACTACTGCCGCCAGAATGAGTAAGGATCAATGCATGCAAGACATTCAGTATTGCGGTACATGTGTGACCAACATATCATACAGAGTCCTCGCAAAAAACATATCATTCAAAAGCAAAATGATATTGTGTCTATAACAATAGAAAATGAACAACACATAGTTCAAGTATCCATTAAATCATCTCAATTGTGTAAGAATATATGTCTCAGAACAAAATTTATCCGTATAATAAGGGATAGAAAGCTATATATGATAATAGTCATTTAGAATATTCTTGAAAAGTTAGTTCGGTGGGAAAAACAGAGCAAGTGATAATGTACTTATGAACTAGAGACAAACCATGCTGAATATTTTATACATTTTTTTGTTATGCCAAAGAAATATAGATCAACAGAAAATAAGATAGACATGACAAAATAATTAGATGATGATTATAACAAGGGGAGAGAGAGAAGGAGAGAGCAAAAAGAAGAGAGAGAGAGAGTTTTGACAAATCTATTTAGCATATAATGATAGTGTAATGGCTTAGATTGTTGATCATGTGAAACAGATATAATAAGATAAGCTGCCAATAAAGTATATGGAGGGTGACATGTACCAAACGAACAATCCAGGTATTACAACCAACGAGGAAAATAGCAAAAAATATTAAAAATTTAAATAGAATACATCAATTCTAGCCACGCAATTGCGCGGGTGAACCCGCTAGTTTCTTTAATAGAAGAAGTTAAGAATGAATACACGTGGTGATACAACACACGACACGAACACAGTAGGCATGAACATGTGTCCCGAAGCAAAGAGACATGAGATGCTCGGCCCAGAAAGGAAAAGCAACACAGCAAAACTCGCCGCTGAGAAGCAACCCAAACAACCAACATGACGACCAATCTCCAAAACTACTATCGAGGACACTGCGAGCAAACACGACAGCGCCTTCGCGAAGGAGAACGATGCCAAGACGCCGTCGCCGCTCAATCCACATAGCCGAACCTACGATTTCCCCTGTTGCTCGAAGAGGGGCACAGATGTCGACCATGGCAGCGCCGTCAAGAAGGGGACATCGCCAACATGTGTCACCGCTGCCAACATCGAAAGGTCTAGCAAAGATTTCACCTGGCCAAAGTCTGAGTAATCCCAAGTTATCGGAGCAAGATTCGAAGAAGATACTATCACGCATGCGCGTTACAGGCCAACCGGCCAAGCTAGAGAGGAAACAAATAATCCGTCATTTTTCTCCTAAATTATGGCTCGGATTTTGAACCATTAGGCTAGCCATGGTGAGAGTAACTTAAAGCATCTTCAACAGGCGCGCAACACGCGACGCGGTAGAAAAAGCATTTACAGCGCCGAAATCGTGATTTTTTGCGCGCCGCGGAGCGCTGACTCCAGCGGCCGCTGCAAAATATAGCGCGCGAGCCGTTCCAGCTGACGCGCTAAACTGCAGCGCGCACGAGCAGCCGGCGCTTGCCATTTGTTGCATATTTTGAGACAATATGATGATATTTCAAACATCAAAACAAGACAACATAGTTTAAAATCACCAAACAAGTTCATGACATAGAAGTTCAAAATCATGCCCACATCATCATCCAACCAAGTTGAGAATCCAAACCAAGGTCATGACATAAAAGTTCACACAAACAAATGGCACATCAACAATCATGCCTCATCCTTGTCTTCGTCCTCCTCTTCCTCTGATTCTTCATCCTCATCCAAAGATGATTCTTCCTCCTCCTCTTCATGGTTGCGCGCCGCATCATCATGGGGGGCTCGGAAGGTGTTGGCGAGATCTCCAATGGCATCATGCGAAGGTGTATGATGAGGCACACCGGAAGACATTCCATTCATGTCACCCGGAGGTGCTCCCGTTCCTCCCATGAGAGACGCAAAACTCATGTCTCCCATGGTAGCTCCGAAGTCACCCATGGCCCCCATGGTAGCTCCAAAGCCACCCATGCCTTCCATGCCGCCCATGGTAGCTCCGAAGCAACTCATGCCTCCCATGCCACCCATCGGGCGAAATCGTCGGCGGCGGCGCGGGCGGGGCGAAAGCGACACGGCTGAGAGAGTGCGGCGCGTGCGCCCGAGTGTGCAGCGCCCGGGAGCGGGCGCAGCAAAGAACGTGCAATGCAGTTTCGCCCCGCATGTTGAACTACTTATTCCGCACGTGCGGTTATTGCGCCTCCGCTGGAGCGCCCGGAGCGCGCGCAAAAAAACACAAATTTTCCTGCGCGGCACTTATATAGCGCGGTTGTTGGAGATGCTCTTAGCTAGTAACAAAACGCACCCCAAGACAAATATGCCTATGTGGCAAGAAGTTAACGAGGAGAGAGGTATTTGGGGTACTCATAATATGTTACCGTAATATAACACATCCAAATGTAAAATGAGTCTACAACTTAATAAATGAAGGTTTGCATGACACTACACTTATGTTACTGCCCACTATATTAAGTTGTCCATAAGTCATCATATTGTAACAGCATACACCCGGTTGTTTTTTTTAAGAACTACGGTTTTGCTAAAAAAATCTAGCGTCAATCACTTTTTTCCTAGCGTAGCATGAAGCCGAAGGAGGGGACGACGCGAGCACCAGCAACGAGCGTCGGGCACGACAAGGCGGAGTCGTGTATGAGTGGGAGTGAGTAAGAAACTTAACAGGGGGGTCAGAGGGTGCAAGGGGTCGCCGGACCTGTGCATCGAGATGGGCCTTAGAGGGATGGTTGGGGCAGCGACCAGCATGGCAGTGGTGGGAGATCGAAGGAAGGGCGGGGCGGCAAGGCGGCGGTAGCCGCCGGCCACATGGCGAGGGGGGAGGCAGACAGTTAGGGCTGGGTGGCGGACGGCTGCGTGAGGAAGAAGATGAACAAGGCTAAACGGGCTTGAGGAGGAAGATGAATTCAAAGCCGGTGGATGTTGATCTGGTCAGTAAATAAAGTGACTGGTTGAAACTTTTTTTTTTCAGATACTTGACAAATAGCACTCTCAAAGAATTAGACAGTGCCTATAAGTTTTTAAAATATACAAAACCACATTGTGTATAGCTAATGGCTTGATTGGGCTCAAGATTTCAGCGAAATTTCTGAAATTTCGGTGGGTATCAAAATACTTGTAATCTTGAAGTTTTGGCTCAGAGTCAAACTAATTTAAAACAATATTTTATTTTTTGAAAAAGTATAAAAGCTAACTGGATTTTGATAGATTGAGTTGCGAAAGGATTCTTGGAAATTGGATATACCGATATGGTCCAAAAAATATGACAATTTTATACCTCACCAGTGAAGTATATCAATGCATTTTTTAGGGGAATACCCTAACAGGAGTATTACTCTTCGGGATCTGTGCAAAAAATAATACAATATGTTTTTTCATAATTCATAAATGTCCATAATTTTTGTAGAAGATTTCTTTTCTTTGCTACATTCACGCGTCACAACCTACATGTATAAAATTGTTTGAATTATTTGAAAAAAAAAATCAAGAAAATGGTATTGCTCTAGACACTTGTTAGGGGTAACGTGCTCTGAAGTGTAATGGTTTAGGGGGTTATTTTTTTCCCAAAAATAGTTTTAGAGGTTAACCGAGCCAAGGTAATATTATTTCAGATTAGTAAAGTGAATTTTCTCAGTGTATAAATTGTTGTTGCCTCTGTTTCAAAATATAATACATAATTTAATTGTTTAAATGCATGCTTTGACCAGTAATAATGTTGTCCTTTTTGGGGAATAAAAATGATATTTAGTTCATGTCTAGAGAAACCCCATTCGTATTCGGAAACACCTTGGTATGATTAACAATTGGCTAAATATTATTGATTGTACACCTTGGTAGTATGAGATATTTACTTTTGTTGATGAAGTGGGATAGTCCAAACTCCAATTAGGCCTACTATATCTTAAAAATAAACGGAGGGAGTATATTAAAGTACTGAGCCCTGGCAAATATGGATTATGTGTGTGCAGTTATCTGAACAACGGCGACCCGTGGGGGACGGACTGGGTGCCGCCGGAGTGCGACGTGACGATCCGTCCTGGCTGGTTCTGGCACGAGAACGAGACGGCCAAGACGCTGAGCCAGCTGTTGGACATATACTACACCTCGGTGGGCCGGAACTGCGTGCTGCTGTTGAACGCGCCGCCCAACACCACGGGCCTGGTGGAGGACGCCGACATCGCCAGGCTCCGCGAGTTCCGCGCCGCCATCACGCGCATCTTCGGCACAGACCTCGCCGATGGCAGCACGGCTCGGGCCAGCAGCGAGCGCGGCGGCGACTTCGCGGCGGGCAATGTGCTGGACGGCCGGGACGACACGTACTGGGCGCCGATGGCGGAGGACGGGCGCAGGGACGGGTACTGGGTCGAGCTACGGCGGCCGGCGAGAGCGCGTGCGCGGCCGTTCAACGTTGTTAGGATACAGGAGCACGTGGCGCTGGGGCAGCGGGTGGAGCGGCACGAGGTGTACGTGGACGGCGTGGCCGTGGCCAGCGGCACGACGGTCGGGCACAAGCGGCTGCACCGACTGGCCGGACCCGTCGTTGGCCGGACGGTGAAGATATGGTTCGCCGCGCGCCGTGGGCCTCCGGTAGTGTCGGCGGTGGGCCTGCATCTCGACCCTCACGAAATCAATCGCCCGAGCCAATAAGTAGTATTGTATCATGCACTCAGGACTCGCAAACATGCTTACATGGAAGATAATTAAAAAAAAGAATTGTTATAGTAACATAGGTAGATACCGTAACATAATAAATGTGATGCTACTATGTGTCATACATGACAGTAAATGAGACCACGTATGATACTAATCTATAATACTATGCACTATAGAGGTAGTAACATAGACTAGTAACATATGCATGTTACTAGTCTAAGTTACTCCCCACTATGACCAGCCTAAAAGCATCTCTAGCAAACCCGTATAACACCGACCCGCAAAACGCGTTTACAGTTCTTGGAAAAACGGCTTTGCGGGCTGGCGCAGGCGGCGGCAGAGTCAGACCCTGCAAAACGGACCTGTAAAAAAGATATTCATGGAATATGCTTTTTCACGGGCCGGCTTTGCGTGGTCTGCTCGAACGCCGCCCCTGCCGGTGCAAATCCGAAATTTGCATTTCAATTTCACACATGAAAATACATTTCTTTGCTATTTTTTTTCTTCAACGACATTGGATACATAGTAATTCATCAAATCTTTGCTAGAATAGTAAGGCCAAAGAAAACAAGAACCACAATTATGCATTTTAGAAGATATCCAACTTTCATAATTGCTCTGGCTGGAGCAATATGTTCTCCATGCATTCGTTGTCGTTGATCTGTGAATTCTTGATCTTGTGTTCTTCATTCTTCTTCTTTGGTTCTAAAGAAGTAGATGTTGCTTCCCCACTATTTTCTTCTCTAATTGCACATGCAGCTGCATCATTAGCCTCAATTCTACTAAGGAGTGCACGAACATCTATTAAGTTTCTTTCTATCAATAAATCAATGTATTCTCCTTTCCAAAACCAAAATGAGCATTCATCTTCCTACACACATGACGATGTTCAAAATGAGCTATCGCAATTGAACCGAAGAATACGGTGACAAAGTCGAATGGAAGCAACACATACCCTGTCATTTTCGCGTTCGAAGAACACCCATCGGGGCTGCTTCGACGTGCCCGAAGTTACCCACAACACTATTTTCTTGCAGTCGTCGCACTGTATGAGCGGCATCGGCGAGCCGGCGAGGGTTGCGCGAGCGCCGAGCTCGGCGGACGGCCGGCCCAATCATTGCCGGCAAACCGACGGCGGCGGCTATAGGACGAACCTGTACGGGCTTTGTCGGGGCTGCGCGGGGTGCTCCCCGACCAATCCATGGCTTGGCGCAGCCATCGGTGGCCGGAAATGCCAAATCCAGCCGCTGCGTCGAACAGTCGTCGGTCTGCAACTTTCCGGCCCGCCGACCAAGAGGATTGGCGGAGGGCAAGCTCGGGCGTGTGGCGGCCCTTCGGCCTGATCCCGCCGGCTAGTTTGGCTGGAATCATAGGCGGTGACCCGGCGGCGGAGGGTGGGGAAAGACGTGGGGCGAGGGGGGGAGGGGGCGACGGTGGGTGGGGCAAAGCGCGGCCTGAAATGTCCCCCCAACCAACTGCTCCCGCTATATACAGGACGTTGACGGGCCGAGGGGGAACCCACGTTTTGCGGGTTGGGCCGGGAATTATGCTGCGCCCCGCAAAAAAATTTAGAGACCGGACTCATTTGCGGGGTTTGGTCGGGCATGATTTTCCTCGTAGACCCGTATTTTGACGGCTATTTTACGGGTCGCGGCGTTATAGGGATCTGCCAGAGATGCTCTAAGTGTTGCTGATCGAGTGGCTGGAGCTGACTCATTGCGCTGGCCACTGGAGCTGAATCACAATTACCATGCATAACGATATCAAAATGGAAAATTGAGCGTTACCGGCACATACCGGCAGATCCTTGGCCCCTACATTAAGACTCGTGCAATAATTTTGTTGTATAATAGGCAGACGGGAGTTGGCACTCTTGAAAATGCCTTTTTGTATAATGTGCAATAATTTTGTTGTATAATAGTCATTGCTGGCCATCGTAGACAAGGTGCACATGGACCAAACATGAGATTTGTTTTCTTACAGTTTGTAGCAACGAAATGAAAAGACAAACTCATTCGAGATACAATTTTTTTTCAATTTATGGAAAAGATCAACTTCGTGTTTTTATCGGATGTTTGGTGGATTTTGAATATTCAGAAGTTCACCCTCAAAAAATATCTCAAAGATGTCTTGGGTGTTCGGGAGCTCCCCCTGAAATTCTCCAAAGATCAACCACATTTGTCAAAACCCCTCTTTTTGAAAGTTCATCTTCAAAGTATCGAAATGTTTGTGCACAAATAGCTGAAAGTTGTTAGTTTTGTCATTTGATTCTTCATTGGACCAGGAGATGTGAGCATAACGCTCACCAGCCATCACTGGACGTGTGCAGGCCAAATAACGGGATGGTCGGTGGTTCACCTTGCTGGTTGTCCAGGGATGCACTCGATAGAGCATGCGAAAATTGTCAAAAGTAACCACTTCATGTGCTTGAATTTTAGTAGCACAAGAAATAGATATCCAATGTTACGGGAGTTGAAAGTGCAACTATCCCTAGGTATTTTTGGTAATTCCTAACAACATATAGCTCATTGAGCGAATGTTATCCCAAGATAAATATTTCAGGAAAGCTTAATGATTGGCATGGCATGGATGAGAAAAGTGGACCCCTCAAAATGTTAAGGACAAAAGGATTGGCTCAAGATCAAAGCTCAAGACTCTACATTTTCTATTTTAGTGATCCAAGATCACATTGAGTCTATAGGAAAAGCCAATACTATCAAGGACGGACGAGGTGTTGCTTAATGAGGTTCTTGCTCAAAGTGCTTAATGATATGCTCAAAAGCCCTCAACTACTTTCTCACATCCACATATGACCTAAACCAAAAGTCAAACTCGGCCCCACCGATTCTTTCTATCCGGCGCCACCAAGTTCAGATGTCATAGCCACTGCCACAAACCCTAGGCAAATCAGCCTCACCAATAGGGATCTCGGTCTCACCGAGATGGGATTGTAATCTCTCTGTTTCCCTTCGTAATGTTTCGGTCTCACCGAGATGAGCGATCGGTCCCACCGAGATTCCACTGTAAACTCTCTGTTTCCCTTTCGCAATGTTTCGGTCCCACCGAGATGAGCGAATCGGTCCCATCGAGTTTACCTGACCAACTCTCTGGTTAGCTTATTACCAAAATCGGTCTCACCGAGTTTGTGTAATCGGTATCACCGAGATTACGTTATGCCCTAACCCTAACCATATCGGTCCCACCGAAAATCCTAACAATCACTAGATTTACTGAATCGGTCTGACCGAGTTTCTCAATTCGGTCCCACCGAGATTGATAAGTTGTGTGTAACGGTTAGATTTTGTGTGGAGGCTATATATACCCCTCCACCTCCTCTTCATTCGTGGAGAGAGCCATCAGAACATGCCTACACTTCCAACTTACATTTTCTAAGAGAGAACCACCTACACTTGTGTTGAGGTCAAGATATTCCAATCCTACCACAAGAATCTTGATCTCTAGCCTTCCCCAAGTTGCTTTCCACTCAAATCTTCTTTCCACCAAATCCATATCCTGTGAGAGAGAGAGAGTTGAGTGTTGGGGAGACTATCATTTGAAGCACAAGAGCAAGGAGTTCATCATCAACACACCATTTGATACTTCTTGGAGAGTGGTGTCTCCTAGATTGGCTAGGTGTCACTTGGGAGCCTCCGACAAGATTGTGGAGTTGAACCAAGGAGTTTGTACGGGCAAGGAGATCGCCTACTTCGTGAAGATCTACCCCCTAGTGAGGCAAGTCCTTCGTGGGCGACGACCATGATGGGATAGACAAGGTTGCTTCTTCGTTGACCCTTCGTGGATGGAGCCCTCCGTGGACTCACGCAACCGTTACCCTTCATGGGTTGAAGTCTCCATCAACGTGGATGTACGATAGCACCACCTATCGGAACCACGGCTCAAAAATCTTCGTGTCTCCAAATTGCATTTGCCTCCTCAAACTCCTCCCTTTACCTTCATATGCAATTATGTTACTTTCCGCTGCTATACTCTAGAATTGCATGTGTTGGTCGATTGCTTGACTTGTGCTAAGTAGCTAAAACCTGCCAAGAATTAAAACTGGGAAAAGGTTAAGTTTTTATTTGGTCAAGTAGTCTAATCACCCCCCCCTCTAGACATACTTTCGATCCTACAGGAGTCTACTAGAAGAAGCAAAAAGATGAAGCCATCTTTTTACGTCTTGACTCCTCAAGCCATCGATGAGCTTACTGTAAAAAATATGAACAATTGAGCCTGCACAATCTAGATTAACCTTGTAGGTTTTCAAAAGACGCATGAACCGCCACCCACGATACATTGAGAACATATAGTCGTCGAACGTGTTGGATGACACACCCTTAGGCCTCATTCGGTTGCAATGGGGAGCAAATCCAGGGCAGCAAAACCCCATCCGGGGGATTTCCCAGGTAGGTGGGATCCCCCCTCCCACCACGGGGGATATGACCCTTGCCATTTGGTAACAGGTGGGCAATGGGAAACTGGATTGTTCTATCCTTCGAATCACACAGCTGGTAACTTTTTTAATAGTAAAACATTCAAAAACAAGCTAATTTCACATGTAATTCCCAAAAAGTCTAAACAAAAGCGCAAAATAATTCTGCAAAATATATAGGAATGTCCAAGACATTACAAATAATTCTAGAATTTGAAATAATCAGAGGAAATTAATGAACCTGTAAACTGATAAATAATAATAAACTACTAAATAATAATATATTGAGAATATCAACTCGACATGCTTTTGACATAATCATCTAGAGGTTCATTGCTTATAGGAAGTTAATACAGAACAAGAAACCAAATCTTCCTCCTCTCATGCTGCCATTACAAATAACATCATTGTTCAACAGGTTATGAGTTTTAGAACAATGAAGCCAATGCCAATAGGAACAAATAGATTTTAGCTACTAGAAACACGATAGTTGCGGGCTTGTCCTAGACCTTTACACTAGTACAAAAAGTTCTAAATTATCAAAACTCCATGCCATGGACAACCA